TGGGTTGTGAACTCGATAGAGGTTACAATTTAAGTCCACAAATTAACAATATCTTGAGGAAGAATTTTGGTACAATCTGACTGATTGAAGAGTGCTCTTGATATACTGATAATTTCTTAGGGAATTTGGCGTATCTTGATAGGCACCTTGTTTTTACCCATAAGGGCAAAAGAGGGTCAGATTTTTGGAGCAGCTGACACCCTCTTCCCACCACTAGATATTGTCAGTTTTTATGTTTTCATGATTTATGGTATATAATCTATCTATTCTCAAAATTTCAGGACTGTACTCCAAATTTAATTGTTTTTTTTACCCATAAGGGCCAAAAAGGTCAGATTTTGAGGGCAGCTGACCCCCTCTTCCCACCACTAGATATTGTCAGTTTTTGTTTTTCTGTAATACATTTGACATAATCTATATTCACTATAATTATAAACAGTGTAGGTCATGGTCAGTTTTTTTTACCCCTTGTGGGAAAAAGGGACAAATTTTGGGGGGCAACTGACCCCATCATTCCACTAGAATTTTTTGTCAGTTTTTATCCCATTACGATTCAGGTTGGTTGAGTCTCATATCACAGATATTTGAAATATGTAACTTTTAGGGTAAAAATATTTTACCCCTTTGTCACAAAATGGAGTGATTTTGGGGGCCAGCTGACCCCCTTTTTCCACCAAGATATTTTGTCAGTTTTTGTGTTTTTTATCTTCTCATGAAATGTTTCTTATACTGTATTAATTTGGCATGTGTAGCTTTTGGGGTAAAATTGGCCCATGTTGGGTGACTTTTTAGGGGCAGCTGACCCCACAAACCCCCCAAAATATTTTGTAAGTTCATATTGTTTTGAGTTTTGAATATATGTGTAGTAACATAACCAATGTATTAACTATGTAGCTTGAAAGTTAAAATAAACCTTTTTCAGGGGTTTTTTGACATGCCCTAGGGGCCACACCCACCGGATCTGTACCAGCTGACGTACATTTTTTCAATGTCTGTCATAGTCCTAATTCATTAAAACCATCAAACCTTCTGGGTTTTTTGGGGTAAAATCACCCGTAGCTAGCTCTTGGACTAATACTCATCAGCAGACGGATTCTTTGAACTGACGAGTTTTCTAAGTGGTATGTCACAATTAACATACTGTTTATAGATCATAGACGTCTTTAGATTTGATTTTACCCAGATAAATATTTTGCCAAAACAAGGCTTAAAAGTGGACTTTGGTATCAAGTTATTATTCTATATTGAATATGTTTATGTTATGTATACTGATCTATTTATATTTAAACAACACAACATTATTTAATCTTGTTTTTACCGACTGTTCTATGGTAGGATAGTCCTTTTACATATTCCGGTTATCTTAACGAAATATAACACAGACGTAAACAAGTCTCCAGGAAGTGATGCAGCATAAATTTTGACTTATTTTTTATACGCCCAGTATAAAGAATTGGGTTGCAAATTCAAGCATGACTGAGGCACTCTGAGAGATGGTTGGTGTCTAAAATGAAAAAGAGTCGTTAGGTCGCCATTATTTTGACGTAACTTGGTGTGAGTGTTCTTATCACCCAAGGATAAACCCTATTGAAAATCAGAAGAATCGAAAAATATTTAGTATGAGATATTGCCCTTGTTCTTAAAAACGCCTTCAAGCTTAGCTTGTAAACACTCACTCTTAACAGATTTTGACAAATCAGATGTGAGTGTTTGTTATCACCCAAGGATGAACCATATTGAAAATCAGAAAAACCGAAAAATATTTAGTATGAGTTATTGCCCTTGTTCTTGAAAACGCCTTCAAGCTTAGCTTGTAAACACTCACTCTTAACAGATTTTGACAAATCAGATGTGAGTGTTTGTTATCACCCAAGGATGAACCATATTGAAAATCAGAAAAACCGAAAAATATTTAGTATGAGTTATTGCCCTTGTTCTTAAAACGCCTTCAAGCTTAGCTTGTAAACACTCACTCTTAACAGATTTTGACAAATCAGATGTGAGTGTTTGTTATCACCCAAGGATGAACCCTATTGAAAATCAGAAGAATCGATGAGTTATTGCCTTTGTTCTTGAAAACGCATTTTAATTTTAGCCTGTAAACACTCTAGAAGGCCCATTCTAGACAGATTTTTACAAAACTTGGTAATATTATTCAGTATCGCCCCAATAAGTTCAAAAGAAGTGTATGACTGAAGGTTGAATATTTCATACTGGTGATTGTTATTGTACTCCCAAATTTATTCAAATTCAAAGTTGCCAGTGGGTGTATATTACCTTGCCTGGCAAGCTATCTTTTAGGGTGGCTGGGAATAACAACCATCTGTTGATAACGTTGTCGTGTGGGTTCAATAACTAATATTTATCAATGAAATGATTCAACAATTCAAAATTTCATAAAATTTTTAGTTCAAGGGAGGCAATATCCTAAAATATGTAGAATAGTAGAATTCAAGGGAGGTAACTATAGACGTTGTTCTGCGTCATCTGTTTTCATCTCAAATCTCAACCTTCTGCAACTTTTTCCAGAAATCTCGTTGAAAACTTTCCAATAAGTCACTTGAAAGCCAATACTTAGTTTCTGGACAAAAATTCAATATATCATGACCATGAAAATCTAGCCAAACTGAAAGTAGACCACTGCATTTTATCATCATCCGCTTGATCGTCATTCAAAATGTTTTTTTTTTTAAATTATTTCTTATTTTTTTAGAGCCACCTGGCAACATTTTGTAATGACATTCATGATACTGGGCTATATCGATCAAAAGGACGATACAAAGAAACGCAAACGGTATGATCAATGTCGAACAGATTTTCAACTGGTTGTTCAAATACTCTGTAAACAATTGATTGTTCATATCTCTGGTTTTCAACCGGTTGTTCATATTTCTTTTTTTGAACTGGTCGTTCATATATCTTTTTGTTCAACCGATTGTTCATATCTGTTTTTAATCCGGTTTTTCAAATGGTTATTCATATCTCTAAGACGGCTGTTCATATATATCTGTTTTTCAACCGGTTGTTCATAAGTCTGTTTTTCAACCTGTTGGTAATATCTGCTTTTCAAATGGTTATTCTTATATCTGTTTATTCAAACGGTTGTTCATGTATCTGTTTTTCAATCGGTTGTTCATATATCTGTTTTTCAACAGGTTGTTGATATATCTATAAACTTGGTTATTGAAAATAGGTTTTAGTTCTTACACGGCATGGAGTATAACAAATTTCCAATCATAGTCACATATAATCCTGTTACTTAGATTCTTTTTATGTTTTTGAAAGAAGTAGGTTAAACACCGACCTAATTAAAATAGTACAGTGGTGTAACCTATTTTCGTGGATATAAGGATGTCTTGGATGTTTCCTCAGATATTCTACAAAATAATTAAAATTGGTTTATTTCGATTTGCTTTATGAATCCTTCACTTTGACCCATATTTCATGAGCAACCAACTCGGCAACAGCGGCAACACGCATGTTTGATCTATAAATAAGTCTAGAAAACACGTTGTATGGATGCCGGGTGGTATAATTAACTTCTCTTAGTATTTATCTTTAATATCAATTCATTATAACTACTGACAATTCCTTCAAAGAGCCACGATTTAAAAAAAAAGTGACTGACAAAATAAGATACGTAGCGTGATTTATTGCTAAAAGTCACTGAAACAACATAAGAATATGGTCCACTTTGTGTTCCATAGAAATTTTCTGCTGACACGGAATCCGCTAGTTGATCACGTGACTTCATTGCTTGGACTACATTCTAGCAGACGTCACTTGGAATTCCGATTACCGCTTGGGATTATAAGGAAATTCGGCCGATAAAACAAGGTGACGTCATTCTACTAGCTGATATTGTAGAGAAAACCCATGTTTATCAAAACAAACTAATGCGGAGGTCGCGTAAGGTCGCTCATGTAAATTATTAATCCTTCCGGAAATCCACGAATAATAGGTTTCCACGAAATTAGGTTACTTGACTGTATATTATATAAATGTAGTTTATTAAGATGACCGGGTATTATTATAGCATTAAGAAAAGTAGAACATGTAGACATTTCTGTGTTGGTAAATTGACCTTATAGTATTAGATTTTTGATTAAGATAATTATGCTAGTCGGCTCAGGAACAATTAAATATATCACACTATTAACAAAATTGTACTCGAAGAATGACAAAGCCAATTCATAAATCTTATAAGGTGTTTTTCAAGAAACAATATGGCCTGCTAGTTGATAAATTATCAACACAGTGATATCACACATCCATATTTTGAGCACGTAAACTAGCGTACTCTTGATGATTCCTCAATTACTGGTAGTAATAATTGCTGATCAATACGATATCCATTTTATACAACGGAAGAAAACAATTTTATTTGGAGAAATATTTCTTAACGACAATAATATGGAGGGCTTTTTTCATTCTGTTTCATACTCAAACAGATCGAGTTTGTTATAATCTCAACCCATTACGAACTGTGTCTAAAACTTTGACTATACATTGCGCTCTTATCTTTGATTTGGTTGTACGAGCGATATCACTCTTTTGGTTTTGGTCATGCATGAGACAATCAATCTAAAAGATTACAGCAGGAGCGGGAAAATCACTATGTAAAATGATATATAAAAAATTACAACCCGGGTCGTGGCCTCCCTCTGTCTTCAGAGCGATAGGAATGATAGAGACAAACTTCGATTCCAAAAGTCAGGGAATTTTGAGATAAGGGCATGATTTAAATTTCATTTGTAAGCAACGTGTAACGGAGATAACTTAAATGTATAAAGGAAATTCAGTGCACAAAGACGTATTCAGTGTATATTATACTGGTAGTAGAACGTTTTAATGCTGAATAGTGTAAGTTCGTATGCACGGTCAATTTCATGATAAGCTTGATAACTGGGTAAAACCAGCAAACTAAACAGGACGAGTCTATTTCTAATTTGAGTATAAAACCTTATTTTGGAATAGTCCATTCAGAACATGGACGATTTACTATAGTCATATTCGAACACTTGATTATTTCAATTTTTAAAGAAATAATCATTCAGGGGAAATGATCTCGACCAACGATTATCCGCATGAAAAGAATGAAAGTTTTATTCAACCTCAGGTAAGTGAAGTTAAAATTTTCAACTATAATATCATTTATATTGTATTTGAAATAACTTCTCGACGTTGTAATAACATGTGGAATATCAATCGCTATACAGTTTTTGACTGGAAGATACAGAAAACGCTTAATCAGAAAATTAAGATACGTTAGATGTTGAATGAAAGCCTTTAAATGCTTTCAGAAATATTTTAAACAAATTCAAAGGTATTTTTCACAATTAACTTTATTTTCTGTCATGAGTAAGCCTATTTTGATTCATATACAGTTGTTCACGTTGCGATGTCTAACTGCCGAAGAATTGCATAGGGCCAATTTCAGCTTATATAGGGTGGTTTTGTTGGCCGCATGCCAGCCAATGAAAATTTAGTATTTTTAACGCTGGGGCTCAATGGTAGATAATAGTCACGTGGCTTGAGGCCCTGGACCACGGATTATTAAATTGGCCAATGAGAAAGTGTATTGAAGAGCGTCTTTCTACCAGTTATATTTGTGCTTTGTTTATCCAGTATCTTGTTGATTCTGCTTTATTTTTGCTGATAATGCATCTTGTCATTGATGAATTTTGACATACTTCATTTCAGATTCTTAAAAAAGCGCTACTTGATGACGCTTTTGAAGACGAAATTTTAGATTTTGAAGAATTGGTTAAAACGTTGGGAGCAAGTCAACAGTCTTTTGACATAGAATCAATCATTGAAGAACCAAAATCAGCATCAGGATCACTGGAAATGGTGAAAAGTCACAACATTCTTTCTGATGTATACAACAATCAAAATGATGCTGATGATACTCAGTCTCTCCAGTTTAATTCTGTAAGTGGTGGAATGTCAATTTAAAAAGAATAGACTAGTATCTGGTATGTGGTGCATTGAGTTATATGAATCTGTATGGGCATGAATTGCCACTGACTCGGCTGTGCCACCTCCCCCACCCCCCTCCCATTCTAAATTTCTTGTTATTGGGCATTGGAAAGAAAGAAAAAACACTGGTTCTAATACCGTGTATATCTTTTCAGTCTCTGGATGCTACTCAGGTGGATTTGGATAGATTTATCATGGATATTATGGAGACATCAACTACAACAGCATATCAATCAAACTACCATCATCAAGAACCCACTCAACATTGCAATACATCTCAATCCTCCAACTATATTAGTAACTCTTCAATCTGCTCAACACCTAAGTCTGGTTCTCCACCCTCTCCAGTACTGCCAATATTACTATCCTCGTCATCAACACCAACACTAATACCAACAACAGTATTACCAACACCGTCATCAACACTATTACCAGCTGCCTCATCAACATTATTACCAGCTGCCTCATCAACATTATTACCAGCTGCCTCAACAACAACATCAAAATTATTACCAACTGCCTCAACAACACCAACAACATTATTACCAGCAACAGTTCATCATACAACTAAATCTCAGTCCAATAAACCTACAGCTAACATCCCTAGACATTTACGTGAATCACATATAAGAGCAGAACGAAAACGACAATCAAAAATTAAGGTGAACTTTTATAACAATGTATCAATCAGTTTCCAATTGATTGATTTTCATGGTATTTTTCAAAATTTTTGGTACATGGATATCCAGCATGTATCGATGGCTGAGGTGAATTCAAACAACTAAGTACAAAAAAAAAACCAACACAATGTTTGATCTAAATCTTTCAGAATGCCAGGGAACAATTGAAAGACCTGTTGGGTTTACAGAGAGCCAGTGAAAATAAAATAGTAGAAAAAGGTATGGCCAATTCCAAATCATTTCTTTGTTAAAAACTTAGTCCCATTTTTAATTCAATTTTTTAATTCAAGCATTAAGGTAAGACTTGCTCATCTCAATCACATCATGTCTCTAAACGTCATCATTTCACAGTGTATTACTGTCTTTCGGTTGATAATTTAATACTTGTAGAAAAGATCAAAGTAGCCTACATAGTTCAAACGAAAATGAACCTGAAGTGCATATTATGATAATTTTAGATATAAAAATGTTTTTCGAACTACAGTTTTCTCGCTATGTGTCACAACATACAACAGTGTAGAGGCCTTATTCGGAGATCTTGTCTTGCAAATATCAAAATTCTACCACGATGTGCAATATTGTAATAATGAACAATTGATTGAGCTGAGCACCATATTTTCATTTTATTTTAAAATTTTGTTACCAGGATTGTTGATTTTATTATTTATAAATCTATATCTCGTTTACAGCAACATTAATAGCAAAAATTCATTATTTACATTATTGGCATAGATAAAATAAATTTCACCGTTATTATGACAGTTTTGTCAACCTATGAATTTAAAATTAATTTTGCTGTAGTTAGTGTCCTAGATTCTGGGACACTCAATTCCCGTTTCTGACCTTTCTACATATATTATTACACCTAGCTGTGGAAAGATGTCGATTCCTAAAGGCCGAACTGGTCAGGATGGACAATGAGTCCTCCAAGCTTAAAAAGGAAAAGGAGGCTTTAGATGCTGATATAGAGTAAGTTTGTTGAGAAAACAGCTGTATAAAAATGTTTGCTACCCAGACTATCAGTAGGTATACAGTAGGTATACTGGCCTTGCTGTTCTGTATTTCATTCCGTCCAACTTTTTTTTTTTTTTTGAGTGAGTGTGAAGACGCGCCAACCCAATTACACTCCATATCCCTTCATGTTTTAGTCCCAAGCTATCCGACTGTCGGAACCATGATATATATATATATATGCTAATGTCAGTCTGACATCATGAGAATTATTGGAGCAAAAACTAATATTGAAATACATCCTCTATAATCAGCAGGGCAGCCAACTTCCAACAATTTTCCAATATTTCATAGGTGTTTATATTTTATTTTTTCAGCGTATTTATTAAAAACCTACCACCAACATTAGATGATCAACGCCTGACATGTGGCAGTTCTTTGACTGGTCTTTATCATAAATATTACTCTCGACCACAGAATCACAATACTAAATTCAATATAGTATCCTTTTTATACAACAGTGTAAGAGTATACCACAGAAAGAACTAATAACCAAACAACAACCTAAGTTTAGAACAAATTTAAGGAGATTTAACATTCGACAATCCTTTGCCATTCCCTTAAATCTGAATCTAGGGTAGAGCGCTAACGGAACTTTCAAACAACCTTTTAAGGAGGTTCAATAACTTGGGTCGGCATGAGGTTATAATCCCGTGTCGCCTCCAAGCTTTTACAGCTTCTTAATTTGGAAAATATAGGCCCAAAATGCACTTAAAGTTATATCGTATGGTTATAGTAAAGAGAATAATGAGATCCATTTAAAAACCGGTGTGATAACATCTCCTTGACCCTGTCTAGTTTGAGAGAATAATGATGCCTCTGTTCCAGTCATATGTTGAACATGTAGAAAAGACGCACACCAAAGAAGAATTTAACCATGGTTTACAAACATGGTGTAAACAGAATCTCAGTCTAATCAGTCTCCGACATAGTAAGTTTCTTTAATTAATCACGGAACATTCTTACATTGTAAAGTAACATGTGTTATGTAACACTTAATAGGCAATAGTATCCGAGAACTTAATTATGGACTAGTTATACAATAAGCGTATCGAAACAAAGACATTATTTTGTTAATATCATGTTTGAAATGATGTGTAAAATATTAAGATTTCAATACCCCATTATGCGTGTAATATTTCTTTTAACATTTCTTTTTGTATTTTTCAGAAATAACTTTTGGTCTATTGGACTGGCAGAAGTCGTCAAACTTAGTCATGCATAGCCCCGTTGTTAAAGCCTCAACTAAACGACAATCATAGCCATTATGTTAATGGTTGTTAATATATGTAAATAGTATTAAAATTCATATAAAATACTTTAATCCTAAAAAAGAAAATGATAATGGAAAAAGAACATATCATTCTATATATAATACTCATTATGTACAATTAGTATTTATAAAGATATATACATTTAGAAACATTAGAGAAAACGGATAATAAAGTAGCCATCTCAGATAGATTTAGTGTAGTTAATTTATTAAAATTAGGACATAAAGAGGAATAAGAAAGATATTCCAAACAATGTACATGTATAATATATTTTTAAATTGCATTATCAGAAAAAAAATTTCTCAACAATGAGAGTGGGAAAATTCTATGTTGGTTTCTCTTTCCCTTTCCAAATAATTCAAACTATGGAGTCTACATATAGATTAGACTATCAAGAAACCTGTAAAAATGGAAATGAATTTGGAATACATTCAAAATAACGAATCCTTAATCTTTTCCTTTTCTGAGTATTGGTTATAGCCACCTATAGTTTGTGATTCTCGTTTAAATCATTAAGTTTGCACTTTTCTATCTGGGACGGCCCCTTATTGTGTCCAATACCATAGTTGAATTCGATGGGTTGAATTATTTATATCATGAATCGTCAAAGGTTACATACGAAGACTAGATCTGTGATATCAGAAATATATTGCCAAAAAGTATTTAATGAATGTACTATCTATATAATTGCCTGAGCAAGTTCGTTGCTATATTGAATTTTGCAAATTTTAAATTGATTTTCATATAAATGATTGTCACTACAGTTTTGAGCCTTTATATTAATTCACAAAATTGGCAAGGTTCAATTTACCAACGAACTTGCTCAGAAACTATAATATAGAGTATTTATGAATTTGCCATAACTACACCACTTTCAAACTTCTTTCTTGATTATCGTCCTGCATATTTCAAGTCCAATATAGATTCCTTATTGTACTTATTTATTTTATCTGACAGCATTAGCGCAAATAACATTGAAGCGAAAGAAAATTTGAATCTGTCAATATCTTGCAATGTATTTTTCAATTGAATCTTATTTTCCAACAGAAGCGCGTAAAGTTAGATTTCATGTTACATGTATACTTCGGCCTCTGTAATACTATAGCCTACTGTTTAAAAGCTCTGTAACAGTTACAGTATAGATGTTTGTTTAAGATTGGCTTATGTATAAATATCTATGGTAAATCTTGTTATGGGAATAAAGATATAAATGTACAAGTTATATTTTTCAACTGTGCAGACATAATTGATGTGGAGGCATTCTGTCCTAGCTGTTTCAAATGGGGTGTGGAGGGGGGGGGGGGGGGGGGGATTAGTGTCGACCGCCATTCTCATAAAAGAAATTGCAATCTGATTAACTACATATTTCGTTTCTTTTCTATGGGTTAATTCACTCTTTCTATAGAAAAGTAGAGGATTGGATTATATATTTTAAAGTAATGGCATATTCCGCACCATGCAGACAAGGAAACGACAGCAAGAACTCATAGTTTAAAACGCAGCAATAGCATTTAAGTTAATAGGGTGTAGGTCGATTTAATTAAGCCTTGGGCTTGTTAAGCTAAATGGATGAGTTGAGCGATTGTTGTTGGCCAACGTCTAATTTTAGTAACATCAAAAAGATTCATTGCAACAAAATGACATGCAATATGTTTCATATGTCGAAATTTTCGCATAAAAAATATATTTAACAAGGAAATCCATATTTTAACGAAATGAAATAGGACTATATTATATAAGTAATACAACCAGGAAAATACATTATGTATCACCGTTTCATTAGCAAAATTATTTAAAAAGGTACTATACATGTATAGGCCTACCACTAGTTCGAGAAACTCTTGCGAAAGCTTTTAAGGCGCAACTGATGATGACTGATGATACAGTCATACCGCGGAGGCGTTTCTATAAAGCATTAGGTGGTTGGACCAAGAACTCAATGGTTTTGAATTTGAAAAAGTAACAGGGAGATCGGGGGGGGGGGGGGGGGGGGGGAAAGGAA